GATGATAACATGGTCTTATTCAACCGAGAACGTTGTACACCTGTATGTTTCTCTAACTCAGAACGTGGCACGTGATGCTACGGTTCTTTATTAATACCCTACTCCCAGATGACGTCACAGGACAGTCTAACATTTTAGAGGGTGGTAAGACTGGGTTTCACGGCTTACTGATGCTTTTACGACATCTAGAACTGGCCCTAACCCCAACCCACCTACATCCCACAAGAAAGTGCAGCCTAGGTCCCACAAATGCATGCAGCCTAGGTCTCACGACAGCATACAGCCTATCTACCACCCCTGAAATATTAGACTGTCCCGTGACCTGTGAATTCTTCCTGTTTGGTGCAGGATATTAATAAAGCACCGATGCTACTTGTGAACTAACCTACCCTCCTAACTTCACTTCACACTAGCTTCAACAGTCGCCGTGACATCTATCCCGCATCACATGCTTCTCCTGGGGCGGTGTATTTATAATGTATCGTCTGACTAGGATTTATTACAGCTATCGACATTTATTGCCAGTCTCCGTCTGAAGGTTTTCCGACTGTATGAAAGTTTTCTGGGTAACCCTACACGCGCCAGCCGGTATCTTTTTTGAAAGTGCTCCGTGCTTCTGTGTGCGGGTTAATTCAAGATAACTTCTTTTAGCCGCCAAACAGCACTTAAGCTATTCCAGGGGGGCTAGAGACTGAAGGCTCAGGCGCGTTGAGGCCCCATAATTTTTTTTAGGGGGTGGGTGGGGAAAGGTAGCAAGGGGGCCAAGGCCCCCCTCCCTCATTTGTTTCCAGTCATGCATAGAAGTTTACTTTATTCTGTTCCGGGCGATTCAATCTATCATGGCATACATTTCTATGAGATAGAGGGAGGGAGGGAGTGAATCTCACCATATATTCAAAAGATCGCCCCCTGAAAAAGATGGAGCCCAAACTTTTTCAGACCCCATTGGCTCTAGTCATGGAGCTGTGGTAGGCAGGCAAGGTTTCCAGACCGGCAGTCATGAATGAACGTGTTTACCTGTCTGGACGTCCCATGCTGAAGCTGTATCTTCTCCTTCCCGTCATCCCCCAGTCGAGCATAGGCCCACAACCAACTCGTGCCAAGCTGTTCTATCTTTCAATGTTGCGCTTAAATATCGCTTGTTTATAATTAATTATTTTTTTACGACTTCTTCATGGTTGGTTGGTTTTTGTAGCTATGGTTTTAGGGTTGTTACTTCGCCCAATCGTTCGTTTAGTGACTTCTTACAACATGTCTGACAGCGTACAGTGTTGTTATTGCTTTGCTTTCCTGAAGAGATTCGGTAACTCATGGACGGCTGAAATGTTCTACCCGCATGCAATCATAGTTTCATACTATATAAATGCAGCTGTTTGGATGAAAAGGGGTGTGGGGGGAGTGAACAAGTATATTATTGTGACACTTATATGACAGGTATTCATCTCTGCTGTCTGTTTTGCATCCTTACAGCCCACCAGAAAACTAACAAGAAACATCGGTGATTCAATACAACGATCTGCGAGTTATTATTTTTATGGCAGAAAACCCCTAGTAGACCCTCCCTCAACAGCCATTAAGTTCACTTCTGCTAGTTTCTCTCCACTGTCACAAACCTGGCAGTGAATCCTGAACGGATTGTGATTAACAACACTAGGAAAACCCTTGGGGTCATTGAAAACAAGACATCAATTATACGACAGGATTTGATTAGTACTAATAAAAGGCGGGAAAAGGAACAGAAGGAGTACAAGAAATAAGAAAACACATTGGTGCTTTATTAATATCCTATTCCAAACAGGGGAAATCCACAGGTCACGGGACAGTCTAATATTTCGCGAGTGGTAGATGACCTAGGCTGCATGCAGTTGTGGGACCTAGGCTGCATGCAGTCGTGGGACCTAGACTGCACTCTCTTTTGAGATGTAGGTGGGTTGGGGTTAAGGCCAGTTTTAGATGTTTTAGGGTCGTTAAAATCATCAGAAAGCCGGGAAACCCAGTCTTACCACCCTCTAAAATGTTGGACTGTTTTGTGACGTCAATAAAGAACCAAACACATTAGACCAGTTTTCTGTAACTTTTTACAAATGAGAAACGGGAAAATATGAGAAATATTTCACGTACCAACTGACGTCTAAGACAGCAACAAATACAAAAGTAGGTAGCATTTTATTTATTTGTTAGTTTGTCGAGGTTCCAATATCAGTGCAGACGGGTCATCCCTTAACTGCTCTGTTCATGTGCTCGTAGAAACCAAACAAAAATGTTCTTCACTGTCTTGTTTAAAACTGGTTTTAAAAGAACGTGTCAGTCCCGGCACAGTTTTGGAGCTTGCACAGTCATAGTTAAAAATACATAAGCGCCAACACTAATGTGCCCACACAAGAATTGCAGCTTACATCTGGCGCAAATGGCCAGTCAGGAAAGCCATCATTACACGGGCAAAAGTAGACTCCACTCTAAACATAACTGGTCATTAGCCATTATAGTGCAGTCAACATCACACCAGATGTACAAGATAAAAACGTTCCACATTTGTTGTGTTAAATACATTGCTATAACATAAGAATTGGTGCACATATATAACACACTAATGATATAGAGCACGAATCGTTTAAGCCATGAAGACCCAAGTATTTATCATATAAAGTAATGTTTGGGATAGTTAGTTAGTTAGTTAGTTAGTTAGTTAGTTAGTTAGTTAGTTAGTTAGTTAGTTAGTTAGTTAGTTAGTTAGTTAGTTAGTTAGTTAGTTAGTTAGTTAGTTAGTTAGTTAGTTAGTTAGTTAGTTAGTTAGTTAGTTAGTTAGTTAGTTAGTTAGTTGGGGTATCCTCATTGCACTCCGGACATGTCCATAGGTGCTCAGATCCTCCCCTCAGTATGAAACCCAACGTCCGATGGCTAATAGTACCAGTTCTATGTTGATTAACAAGTCTTCTGGCGTGTCTGGTGTGCGTCTCGTTTTTTGCTGTGCCGATCTTAATTCCCAAGTCTGCCATTCTGGCGAGTGATGTGGATTCACTGCCACCGAAGTCTTCTATCCTTCCCATTTCTCTGAGGGCATTAATAATAGCAGCATGATCCATAGGCTGACCGTCGGTAGTGATAGCGGATCCAGCCAACCTGTCAGCTCTTTCATTTCCATGCTTGGGATAGAACCAGTTAAACCAACAGCTATCTGGGCTGACAGTTAAAAATCCATACCTCGATAGGAGTTCAAACTCCTAACCAAAGATCTGAAAGTAAAAGTATTCACCACTGTGATATCTCGACTGTCACATTGCCTAAGTAATTTTCCCTTTATCAGAGAGATTCTTCCCGCCATCTCTTCCTTCTGGTGTTTCCTGTGTGAGATGTGTTGAATTGAGCGAAAGCAAAACTAACAAGTGGGTAAACATAATAACTGAACACAACCTAGCCGAAATGTGAAGGTAACACAAACGTTAGCAGGTCAGTTCCTCGTATTAGAGCTGCAATATAACGCCGGCAACATCCTGTATGTTAGGTTAATTATCTTGTGGTTTGTATCCTCTTTACTACTCTGTACTGTCATATTGAAGAAGATGTAGATATTAAGTAAAATGGATTATTACGAATAAAGTCGACGCGATAACTACTTTTAGTCTTTCTGCTGATCTGTCTGTCTGTCTGTCTGTCTACTGTCTATCCGTTATCTCTTTACCTACATACAAACATACATAAATATATAGCTATCTCTCTAATTTTTTATCTTTTCTATCTTTCACACTCGTAGTCCCGCCCCACCCCCCTCCCCGACACCCCTTTCCACCCCCCCCCCCTTTCAATTCCACTGTACTTTTGTTATTTTCCCTTCTATTTTTTTTTTCAATTTCCCTTTGTCCCTATATCCCAACAGTCAGTCAGCCAACAACTCAGCTCGACATTTCAGCTGTGACCAGTCCACCATGTGCAAGTGTTCAGTGGATTCCCCGGGTCCCTGATGATTCCAGTTGTAAATATCAATTTCCCTCTCGACCTTTCCTGTCGCCGCCATCTTGGCTGACTTGGTTCTGCAGCTGGATGCATTCAAATCTTTGTCTATCCTATTTACCATTTACAGGCTGCACGCTGAAAGTAATACAAGGAACTGACGAATAACCTCCGCAGCTGCCTTAGTGCAGTGATTAACACTCCTTCCTGTCGGCTCTTGGGCATGTGTTCAGTTCTCAGTCGAGTGGGTTAGGGTAAATAAATATGAATCTTCACTTTAAGGTTCACCCAGTCGAAATGTTACCATGAAGTATGGGGAAGGAAAAAACGGCCGATAGGGTATTGACTGCATCCCTGTCGAGGGTCCTTTGCTGTAGGACATGGGCAATTGTGAGCTAACATTATATACCTTATATACATGGAAATATCCTTTGTTTCATTACTTTCGAATAACGTCCAGATTTTGCATCTTCTTCTTCTTTCTATTCCTCATCTGCTTTTTCCTTCGCATCTTCTTCCTCTTCTCCTCCTTCTTTTCTTCGTATTCTGGATTTTGTTCTTCTTCTTTTTCTCACCACTCCTGTCGTTTATTTTTTCTAGATTTCTTTTTCTTCTTCTGGTGATGGCGGTAAACAAGCATAAGAAAAAGGGAACGGAACACACGTGGCGATATCCTGGTTGAAAAGTTATCTATTCAGCGATTTTCACCTTCTTGATCCACTGAAAAGCCACCTTGGAAGGAGACATTTCGCGAATGACGCACAAGTTGAATGTGACGTGAAAATGTGGTTTAGAAAACAGAGTACGCAGTTCTATGCGTCAGGTTTGGAGACTGATAAAACCATGGGACAAGTGCATCAATGTTAGTGGAAATTATGTTTGAAAAATAAAGGGACAGTGTATGTGTAAAAATGACGGGTTTTCAAGTTGTTATCAATTTTGTGTGTGTGTGTTTTTTTTTTTAGCAACCATTTGTGATTTACTTATTGACTTCCCCTCGTATGATAAAATGTGTGTCCGTGAATAACGGTTCCTGCTATTTACTATTACAGTTAAATACATCTCACTGTTCGGGAGTTGCCAATGACCAGGCTGAGCTATCCCGGGCCCTACGACTGCACCATGATCTACTACGACTGCACGGCATAGACACTGTGGTAAGTTACAAGCCTTTTCTTATTGACTTCTTTATATCTAAGGTAGCTATGAGACAATGATATTTATGATATTTTATTTATTTTCATCATTATCTGTTTCAACATTTATAGTTGTGTTTGACTGGAAAACTTAATAGTTTTACTTTTTTTTTTTTTTGTTGGTTTGGTCATTTCTGTTTACTTATGGCTAAATACAAACTTTGCTTACTGTTTTTTTTTTAAATCCAGGAGTCATGAGGTGTAAACCCTTTGACCCAGTTCTAAGGATATCGCAACCTTTCAGCCTTGATTCCGGGATAGATACCGTAAATCTGGGAGAAATGTGGCTTTTCTGCCTATCTCCGTGCGTGAGCTCGGATTTTGTCACCCGGTCGCCGCGCAGCTGGTTTAACCAACTTAGCTAGCAAGCTGGTCTTGCATACTTATACAATTCTTTTCCTCGTGCGTTATAAATTTTCAGTTTTCTGTCACACGAATGCGGGTACCTAACTGTGCCGTAACGAAACATTTAAGTGTTATTGTAGCTTGTTTTATTTAAAATTTCTTAAGTGGTTCCTTTCCCCCATGCCACTGTTTCCCCTCCAGCGTGCTGATCTTTCTGTGACAGTCTGGTCAAAGATTTAGCTCCTTTCTATGCCTGCAACAGTCAAGAACCCATATCGCCGAGATGCAGCCATATCTCAGCCCAGTCTGTTTTATGCGTGTTTTGTGTTTTATCAATACTCAGTGGTTTATTCAATGTTTTATTCAGTGTTTCAGTGCTGAATGTTTAATCAACATTCAACAACATTCAACATTTAGCTGAAAAAAAGTTATACTGTCTCAGTTAACGTACTGTGTATCTTTCACGATCACGGTAGTGCCAACAAATGATAAGATTTTGCTATTCTGCCTCAGTTAACGTACTGTGTATCTTTCACGATCACGGTAGTGCCAACAAATGATAAGATTTTGCTATTCTGTCTCAGTTAACGTACTGTGTATCTTTCACGATCAAGGTAGTGCCAAGAAATGATAAGATTTTGCTATTCTGCCTCAGTTAACGTACTGTGTATCTTTCACGATCACGATAGTGCCAACAAATGATAAGATTTTGTTATTCTATCTCAGTTAACGTACTGTGTATCTTTCACGATCACGGTAGTGCCAACAAATGATAAGATTTTGCTATTCTGCCTCAGTTAACGTACTGTGTATCTTTCACGATCACGATAGTGCCAACAAATGATAAGATTTTGTTATTCTGTCTCAGTTAACGTACTGTGTATCTTTCACGATCACGGTAGTGCCAACAAATGATAAGATTTTGCTATTCTGCCTCAGTTAACGTACTGTGTATCTTTCACGATCATGGTAGTGCGAACAAATGATAAGATTTTGCTATTCTGCCTCAGATTTGAACATTGTCTGAAATGCGTATTTTTATTATAATTATTGTTACCTATAGTTTGTCTTTAGTTGTAAAGTTAATTCGTGCGAACTTGATATTCTGTAAGTAGAAAAAACCTTGTTTATTGTGTCCCCAGGTTTGAAGTGAATTTGTGTAAACTAGGCACCTTGTTGTTAGAAATAGTTTTCTTTATTTTGTCTAGTTTTGAAAAAGAATTTCTGAGAACTAGGCACATGGTTGTTAGTAATAGTTTCCTGTAGTTTTCAAAATAATTTATGCAAACTGTGCACTTTATTTCAAATATCTAGTTCTTCGGTTATATTTTATGTGAGATTTTGAAGTGAATTTCTGTAAATGGAATATTATTGTTAAAATGTACCATAGTTCCTAAATTGTAAAATCTTAAAACTATTTCCAATCTGGGAGATTTTCTGGGAACTGGGAAACTTGGTGCTACAAACTGTGTTTCTCGTTTACATTTTGTCTACAGTTTTAAAGTGCATTTACGTAAGCTGTGTGCCTTATTGTTAGGACGATCTTTCTTTCCCGTGTCACATTCTACCCTTGTGTTGAAACAAAGGCTCTCACGGTCAGACAAAGACTGGTGTAATGAACTGTCCATTGATTGAAGCGCTGCCCGAACCTGAGAGAAAATATAAATTGTGACTAGCTTCCCGGGCTCTTAAATTCATTTATTACTCTTGTCTCTGAAGGCGCAATTCCGTTGATGAATACGGCGAGTTGAGAACGAACTCATCACTGGCGCCAATTGAAATCTGAAGTGAGTGGTTAATCCAATAATCCCATCGATCCTCCGTCCATGTCCTAGCTAATCGCCCTCACATTTGAATGTTTTAACTGTCGGAGATAACTCTGGCGCAATGTTGTTTAGCTACTTGGGAAGGGAGGGGTAGTCAGGGTTACTATCGATGTGGAAGGAAGAAGAAAGAAGATTGAGTAAAATAATTTTAAAAAAAATGATCTGTGGATATTGATAGGAAGTGAATTTCATTTCTTCATTCTTCATTCAATACGTTTTGTTAAACGGTTCTGTGATCAGATTAAAGAAGAAAGCCAGGGAGGGAATAGATCATATGAAAATTGAAACTA